GAAAGAAATCCAAAGTGGCCAAATATAAAAGTTATAATGACAGATAAAAGTGCTGCTGAAAGAGATGTCATCAGTAAAGAATTTCCTAATGCAAAGAAATTAATATGTCTGTTCCATACTTTTCAAATATTCCAAAGAGAAGTCACAGTAGCAAAATTAAAAATAACTTCTGAGGAAGTCAGATTATCACTGGAATTTTTAAATAAGATAGCATATTCAAAAAGTGAAGATGATTATGAAAGTATCCTGAGTAATATGAAATTGAAATTGCCAGATTCAGTAATAAAATATTTTATGAAAAACTGGAACCCAGTTAAACAAGAATGGGTGAGATGTTTTACAAAATATAGCGAAAATTTTTATAATTTTACAAACAACAGATTGGAAAGTTTAAATGCTAAATTGAAATCTGTTATTTCAATATACAGTTCTTTTCATGAATTTATTAATAAACTATTCGTTTTGATAAAAATGAAAAGAGTACAGAAGCAGAATGAATATAGTAAAATGATATTAAAAGTACCAAATAACCTATCCAATTTAAATATGCAATTCTACAAGCATCTCACTCATTTTGCCTATCAGCAGATAGAAAAAAACTTACTCGATATTCAGACAGCTGACAGCCCTTTTATATTTCAAAAAATTGATGAAGCAACTGTTTTTTGCATAGCGGAAAAAGATACGATTCTAATTTCAGAAGTGCAATGTCAATGTAGCTTTTTTATATCTATGAAATTACCCTGTAAACATATATTATTTTATAGAAAACATTTAGGCATTGAATTATTCAGTGAAGACCTTTTTGATATCAGGTGGACAAGAAAATATATTGAAAATGTGCACGGTAGTTCATTGGAAACATTTTGTATTAACGAAGATGTTCCTCCATATGAATTTGAATTACCAAAAGTAAATATTTCTTGTACCAATATTCTGACAAACAGAAAAACATTAACATCACATGAAAAATTTAAAAAAGCCCAGGCGGTTTGTCTAAAATTAGCTACATTGTGTAGTGAAGTATCTACAACAGAATTTCAAGATAGAATGGATATATTAATAAAATTGGAGCAAAACTGGCAGGAATTGGGAAAAGTTCAAATAATAAATGTTAAAGATACTCGGGACATTAATTTAGAAATACAAAGTACACTCGATCAAGGTTTAAATGCACTAGTTGATCACAATTATTTTAATCATTGTGACATATCCAAGCCAAACGAAAGGAAAGGCTTACATGAACTTGAAATTATTCAAGATTTTCAAGAAGTACTAGAACTTCAAGAGGAAACTGTGCCAGAAATTATATGTGACATGGATCATGATACTGAAGATGACATATCATTTATTAATAATATAACATTGCCGGTATAGTACATTTTTATACTTGTGTAATGAATTAAAATTTTTATTAAATACGTATTTTGCAGAGTACTGTCAAACAACGGGGTAGACCAAAAGGAAGATCGTTAACAACCATTGGCTTGCCAAAAAAGCGAAGAAAATTGCAATAAATATTTTTGTTATCGACTTTTTAAATAAACAGATTTTGTTTAAAGAAAACTTTTTTTAAATCCACAGTAAAAAGTTTACAAGTGTGGAATTGCAAAAATGTGTAGATTTCTAATTATCAAATAAGATACAGGGTGTTCCGTTAAAAAAACTATTCAGCCAAGATCGTATAAATCATATCATCCTGTAGAACTTTTGTATTTAACATTTTCTTGTAAGTCCAAAAATAAGGAAGTTAAATAAGGGTGACAATTATAACCAATCAGTCTATAATTTGTTTATTGACTACATGTTCATTAAGCATTAATTGACGATGATGCTAATGCATGTCGAGAGAACAGCACCTCAATCATATTTTTAATACCTTAATCTAATCTGTAACATGTAATACACTTTATTATACCTATGTTTCCTGAAAAAGATTGATTTAATTAACAATAACAAATAATTATTTACCGTTGAAAGTTAATACTTTGCTACAACTCAAACTTGCACTTGCACCATTCAAATTGATAAACCCCGCCCCCATCGATAACCCCACCTTTTCGGGAAAATAATTTTTCCATTACAATCCCACGTACGGGATTTTATCCACTTCCTATATTTTATTCAATTTTCAGAATATTCAGTGGTGTCGAAATTCCTGAGTTCTTAGTGACAGCGCCTCTCTGTATCTTTGTCACTGGTGGATGAACATCGCGGCAACTTTTTTATTTTTGATTTTAGGAAAAGTTTCCTATAAAAGTTATATGGTCCTTTGAAAGCTTCATAAATTCTTTAATAAAAATGGAATAGTCGCAATTGGTCGCTTCCGACGCGCTTCCCCGAAATTTAACAAAAAGAAGTTCGTTAAATTCGATCGATAAAGACAAAAATTACAGGGATACTGAAACATATAAGCGATATACATGTCCTCGGAAAGATAAAACGAGTCTTATAAGAAATAAAAAGTTAACAGAAGAATTAAATTATGGCTTTCTCGGATTCAGATCTACTTATTTTTGAATTTCAAATACGTTGGAAATTTAGTATTTAATTTTTTTTGACTAATAAAACGCCCTTACAAGTAAATAAAATGTTAAGAAAAAATTCTCAGTATGTAATATTGCAACATTTCAATGTCGTATTCTACTTTAATCTTTAACTTGATTTCAAATATTTTTCATTAGTGTATGTGTTCTTTCTGTCGGATCTCCGACAGTGCTCCCAAAAACCCCCACAAACCAAATTTGGCGCAAATCTGTTATTTTTTGCAAATTCGTGATATCTGACCTTAATTGACCCGTTTTTTTTGAGGTTAGAAAAGGAACCATCAATTCTCACCGCGGATTCACGTTCGGCTGGGTCTTAACCATATAAATGAACATTTNTCTACTATTCTACTTCCGAATCAAGAGAAGGAAATAAGAACAAACGTTGTTTTTGTCAAGGTGATTGTTAAACAGACTGAAATGTATAGACTGGTGTTACATAGGTATAAAACACTAGTGTACTATTAACACCATAATACATCTAAAAACAGTTTTTAATTTCTCATGTGGATCTTATTACCATTAGTGTATAATACAACTTCCATAAATAATTTTCATCAAGTTGTCAATTAAATTTTGATAAAATTAAAAAATTTTAAAACAACAAGACCAAGATTACATTAAAACACAACATTCTGTTGCACCGCCTGGTGATTGGTGTAATTTTTTACCAGAATTTATTCAACCTTTCAGCGATGACATTATCTCGAACGTAGACTAACGATTTGTCATTGTAAAGGAATCATTAATACTGGTGAAGCTAAGACTCAGGGATTTTTAGTTGATAGTTCCAGCCGTGCAATGTTGGTTGCCTAAGCTCGGTGGCCACGTGACTTGTAATCATTTATCATTTGTGAAAGCTCTGTGTGTATAAAACACTAGTGTTTTATATGTGTTATCATTGCAAAATAGGCACATTATAACATTATAAGTTGATTTGGATAAGAAATATTTATTTATTAATATTTGAAATATATATGAAATTAAAAGAGGTTATTTATTTTTGGAGTATGATGTTTTACCCTGATTTGGGCTATTCGGCAGATAAAATAAATCAAAACGTATAATTTTAACTGCAGTTAACTGCGCAAGAGTTGGAGCAAGTTTGTGTACAAAGCCAAAAGCACTCCATAAATTTCAGCAAAAGCATAATGTAATGTGGCAATTAAGCGCAAAATGCAATTAGAGTGGCTTATGTTTAATATCACAACAAAGCCCGGCTGGCTCCTAACCCGCATTATCTCCTAACCTCGACGGAGTTGGTCGATCTATTTATAAAAGTATATTTTTATCATCAAACATCTAAATATTTCGCTACATCTTGTAATGGTTAAAACATGGAAATAAATTTGAAACACCCTGTCTGTAGAGTGTTTGATTAGTTATATTTGCAAACTTATTTTTTGTTTGCCATGTCATGGTATGGCATACCTACTGGGAAATAAAATTACTAGCTATACGCAGTCATAATCTCGCACGATTAACTCGAATTGTTAATATAATCATTCTTTCTCTCTTTTTTCCCCTAAAAAAATGAAAAAGGAACAATTACATAGCAACACACCGACATGCTGGCTCATAAAATACGTTTATTTTTTTTTCTTCCAGAAAATAATTTGTTTATGATTCTACAGACCGTTTTTTAAGTCTATATTTTTAAGAGATTGTTCCTGGTGTTATTTTACACTAAAAACCCTTAAGTGAGGCGTTTATACATATGCGCAATTTTTTGTCCAGCATTTTAGAAAATCTTAGCAAACAATATCTCGTCACTGTACCAGTTATATCACTTTTCGTCAGGGTATAGAACAACTAACAATACATTCAAAATAAGGGAAAAAACATATTTCCGTTTCCTGAATTTTGCACTCCTGTTGAACGTACAGAAAATCGCGTACGGTACTATAAATATAATCACACCATGCAGTATGATTTTATGAAACTGTTAACATATGCATTAATCACAATTATTGAGCATCTTTACAAATTTGCTCGACAAATCGGGAAAGGTACATTTTCTGCTGTTTACATGTCCTCCGTGATTTTTCAATGTGAAAAATAAAAGGAAGTTGCTCTAGTTTAGCGTTATGCTTTGTCACTTTCTGGGTGGATCTACTTATTCTATCATTATCTTATAGCTGTTTTACATTGACAATTTATTCATGAATAAATTGACGAAGTTCTTTATGAATTAATTCACGAATTTATTGGTAAACAGTGTGGTTTTACACTGATACAGACTTTGTCAAGTTTTTTGACGTACGAATCAGTTCTACCAATGAATCAAAGAAGCAAATAAATTTCAAAAATGTCTCCTTCCCACTCATAATTGTACTGATACAACAGCGGTACCGTACTCTAAGTAAAAAATAATTTTCCCGAATGGGCGGGGTTTACCAATTTCAACGGCGAGTTGTTTACTGTTTCCTTTAACCATAACCCTAACCCTAGATAAATACAGTTCAGACAATTGCGTTTATTTTTGTTGTGTTAAATTTTATATATACCTAATTTTATTTTATATCTTGTGTTAAGTACAATGAAAGTTGGCGATCATTTTACGAGTTATAATGACTTGCAAAGTGCAATTAATGAGTATGAAAAAGAAAATAGGGTGCAGTTCTGGAAGAGAGATTCTAAGACGCTAGAGAATGCTAAAAATCATTGTCCAAAGATTTTTGAAAAGGCAAATAGGGATTTGAAATATTACATTATAAAATATTCATGCATTCATGGAGGACAAAAATTTAGACCAAATAAAAATAACAAGTCAATACGGAAACATGAAGGGTAATGCTTTTCAACATTTACTAAAATATATAAAGTACCCCCAAATATTAGGTATCTTTTTTTATGTTGTAGAACTTTAAAACAAAATTGCCCCGCAGAAATCAATGTGAAAATATCGGATGATGGAAAGTCGCTACTGATTAAATCTATGAATATTAACCACAATCATGAAATTCCTACAGAGTAAGTGAATGGAAAATTAGCTCGATATAAAAATTTTATATTTATATAATTCCATAGATGTAAAATTAGCTAATTAGCTAAGTAATATTAAATAATTTTATTTGTTATAGAGAAATATTTAAACATTTACCAAAACAAAGAAGACTTTCAGACGAACATAAAAAATGTGTTTTGGAAATGATGAAACTAAAAATAAATAAGAAATTACTTCAGGCAGACCTAGTTGAAAAAACAGGGAACTCAATATTGTTGCGTGACATATCAAATATTGTTAAAAACAGTCAGGGAAAAGACAACCTGCAAGAAATGATCAGCATTTTAAAAGAAAAATATCACTGCTTAATTGATGTACAAACGGAGGAGAATACATTTCAAGGAATTTTTTTTCAAGAGGAAATGCAAAAATGTTTTTCTCTGTTTCCTGAGATACTTTTCCTAGACGGAACTTACAAATTATTAAACAATCGGTGTCCTGTTTATGTGATGGTTGTTGAAAATTCCTTTGGTACCACTGACATTGTTGGAATTGCTATCATAACAAAAGAAGATAGTGAATCTTTAGGCTGGTTTCTCAATGTATATGTATTTTGCTTTTTCATATGCTTAAAATTCCTCCGACATAGACTTCACATATAAACTCTTGCCTGTAACTATATAGTTGAATCGCAAATTCAACGTATGCACGTCATTAACGTGATACAATTTTTGTACTGTAATAATTAATAATGGCAACATAATTATCAATATTTTATCGCATTAAAATACATAATTAGGACAACGGTTGTATATGCTACAGTGACTGACGATGTAATGTATGATTATATCCTTAATTTAAAAGAAACTAATTTGATTGACAGATGACGTGCATACGTTGAATTTGCGATTCGACTATATACAGGTCAGTGTCTGTGATATATTAAGAAAATGATGTTGATTCTGTTTGAATGTACAATACAATTATTGTAAGACACATGTCTTACAATAATTGTTTTTCACATATTTTATCGGAATTAATAAATATGTAGTATACTTATATGATTATTTTTTAAATTTCAGATTCAAAGAAAGAAATCCAAAGTGGCCAAATATAAAAGTTATAATGACAGATAAAAGTGCTGCTGAAAGAGATGTCATCAGTAAAGAATTTCCTAATGCAAAGAAATTAATATGTCTGTTCCATACTTTTCAAATATTCCAAAGAGAAGTCACAGTAGCAAAATTAAAAATAACTTCTGAGGAAGTCAGATTATCACTGGAATTTTTAAATAAGATAGCATATTCAAAAAGTGAAGATGATTATGAAAGTATCCTGAGTAATATGAAATTGAAATTGCCAGATTCAGTAATAAAATATTTTATGAAAAACTGGAACCCAGTTAAACAAGAATGGGTGAGATGTTTTACAAAATATAGCGAAAATTTTTATAATTTTACAAACAACAGATTGGAAAGTTTAAATGCTAAATTGAAATCTGTTATTTCAATATACAGTTCTTTTCATGAATTTATTAATAAACTATTCGTTTTGATAAAAATGAAAAGAGTACAGAAGCAGAATGAATATAGTAAAATGATATTAAAAGTACCAAATAACCTATCCAATTTAAATATGCAATTCTACAAGCATCTCACTCATTTTGCCTATCAGCAGATAGAAAAAAACTTACTCGATATTCAGACAGCTGACAGCCCTTTTATATTTCAAAAAATTGATGAAGCAACTGTTTTTTGCATAGCGGAAAAAGATACGATTCTAATTTCAGAAGTGCAATGTCAATGTAGCTTTTTTATATCTATGAAATTACCCTGTAAACATATATTATTTTATAGAAAACATTTAGGCATTGAATTATTCAGTGAAGACCTTTTTGATATCAGGTGGACAAGAAAATATATTGAAAATGTGCACGGTAGTTCATTGGAAACATTTTGTATTAACGAAGATGTTCCTCCATATGAATTTGAATTACCAAAAGTAAATATTTCTTGTACCAATATTCTGACAAACAGAAAAACATTAACATCACATGAAAAATTTAAAAAAGCCCAGGCGGTTTGTCTAAAATTAGCTACATTGTGTAGTGAAGTATCTACAACAGAATTTCAAGATAGAATGGATATATTAATAAAATTGGAGCAAAACTGGCAGGAATTGGGAAAAGTTCAAATAATAAATGTTAAAGATACTCGGGACATTAATTTAGAAATACAAAGTACACTCGATCAAGGTTTAAATGCACTAGTTGATCACAATTATTTTAATCATTGTGACATATCCAAGCCAAACGAAAGGAAAGGCTTACATGAACTTGAAATTATTCAAGATTTTCAAAAAGTACTAGAACTTCAAGAGGAAACTGTGCCAGAAATTATATGTGACATGAATCATGATACTGAAGATGACATATCATTTATTAATAATATAACATTGCCGGTCTAGTAGGTACATTTTTATACTTGTGTAATGAATTAAAATTTTTATTAAATATGTATTTTGCAGAGTACTGTCAAACAACGGGGTAGACCAAAAGGAAGATCGTTAACAACCATTGGCTTGCCAAAAAAGCGAAGAAAATTGCAATAAATATTTTTGTTATCGACTTTTTAAATAAACAGATTTTGTTTAAAGAAAACTTTTTTTAAATCCACAGTAAAAAGTTTACAAGTGTGGAATTGCAAAAATGTGTAGATTTCTAATTATCAAATAAGATACAGGGTGTTCCGTTAAAAAAACTATTCAGCCAAGATCGTATAAATCATATCATCCTGTAGAACTTTTGTATTTAACATTTTCTTGTAAGTCCAAAAATAAGGAAGTTAAATAAGGGTGACAATTATAACCAATCAGTCTATAATTTGTTTATTGACTACATGTTCATTAAGCATTAATTGACGATGATGCTAATGCATGTCGAGAGAACAGCACCTCAATCATATTTTTAATACCTTAATCTAATCTGTAACATGTAATACACTTTATTATACCTATGTTTCCTGAAAAAGATTGATTTAATTAACAATAACAAATAATTATTTACCGTTGAAAGTTAATACTTTGCTACAACTCAAACTTGCACTTGCACCATTCAAATTGATAAACACCGCCCCCATCGATAACCCCACCTTTTCGGGAAAATAATTTTTCCATTACAATCCCACGTACGGGATTTTATCCACTTCCTATATTTTATTCAATTTTCAGAATATTCAGTGGTGTCGAAATTCCTGAGTTCTTAGTAACAGCGCCTCTCTGTATCTTTGTCACTGGTGGATGAACATCGCGGCAACTTTTTTATTTTTGATTTTAGGAAAAGTTTCCTATAAAAGTTATATGGTCCTTTGAAAGCTTCATAAATTCTTTAATAAAAATGGAATAGTCGCAATTGGTCGCTTCCGACGCGCTTTCCCGAAATTTAACAAAAAGAAGTTCGTTAAATTCGATCGATAAAGACAAAAATTACAGGGATACTGAAACATATAAGCGATATACATGTCCTCGGAAAGATAAAATAGATAATTATAAGAAATAAAAAAGTTAAAAAACGAATTAAATTATGGCTTTCTCGGATTCAGATCTACTTATTTTTGAATTTCAAATACGTTGGAAATTTAGTATTTAATTTTTTTTACTAATAAAACGCCCTTACAAGTAAATAAAATGTTAAGAAAAAATTCTCAGTATGTAATATTGCAACATTTCAATGTCGTATCCTACTTTAATCTTTAACTTGATTTCAAATATTTTTCATTAGTGTATGTGTTCTTTCTGTCGGATCTCCGACAGTGCTCCCAAAAACCCCCACAAACCAAATTTGGCGCAAATCTGTTATTTTTTGCAAATTCGTGATATCTGACCTTAATTGACCCGTTTTTTTTGAGGTTAGAAAAGGAACCATCAATTCTCACCGCGGATTCACGTTCGGCTGGGTCTTAACCATATAAATGAACATTTGAATATAGAAAAAAAAAATTGTACTTTTTCCAGCACTTTTTCGTGAATTTTTGTTATTTTTGACCTGTTTTTTGAGGTTAGAAAATTCCTGTGATACTATAGCTCATTTCAGACACCGAATTCATAATCAGGAAGCAAAAATACTACGGATAACATACAACAACAAGAGTACAGACAAATTTTTTTGTGTGGCTGTGTAATTAATAAAAGAAGTCACTGGGACTGAAAATCGATTATTCTAATAACCGATTTCAATTAAATAACTTCATTATTCAAGAAAAATTATTTTAAAAATTTTTAGAAAATTTGAGCAATTCAATTTTTAATTTTTTTATGTAGTAGGTAGGTAGAATAGGCAGGTAATTTTGAACATTTCAACACATGATTTGATCAATTAAAAAATCAACCTCCCAGAATGTTTTTTTATTTTTCCTCAAAAAAAAAATAAAGTGAAGAAGATTACAACACTTAACTGCAAACATAACTTGTCTTGTCATCATGGTACGAGTACAATAATATTTGTCATTAAACCCGATTATTTTTAGGCCAATGTTATAAATTTCATGTGAATTCTTCATTCATGTACTTCTCTTAAATAAGTAGAAATTAACTAAACAACAAAGGCAAATTATTTTAGAACTTCTGAATGTTCTCTGTTTCAAACTAATTCAAATTTACCATATTTANTGAGTATGAAAAAGAAAATAGGGTGCAGTTCTGGAAGAGAGATTCTAAGACGCTAGAGAATGCTAAAAATCATTGTCCAAAGATTTTTGAAAAGGCAAATAGGGATTTGAAATATTACATTATAAAATATTCATGCATTCATGGAGGACAAAAATTTAGACCAAATAAAAATAACAAGTCAATACGGAAACATGAAGGGTAATGCTTTTCAACATTTACTAAAATATATAAAGTACCCCCAAATATTATCTTTTTTTATGTTGTAGAACTTTAAAACAAAATTGCCCCGCAGAAATCAATGTGAAAATATCGGATGATGGAAAGTCGCTACTGATTAAATCTATGAATATTAACCACAATCATGAAATTCCTACAGAGTAAGTGAATGGAAAATTAGCTCGATATAAAAATTTTATATTTATATAATTCCATAGATGTAAAATTAGCTAATTAGCTAAGTAATATTAAATAATTTTATTTGTTATAGAGAAATATTTAAACATTTACCAAAACAAAGAAGACTTTCAGACGAACATAAAAAATGTGTTTTGGAAATGATGAAACTAAAAATAAATAAGAAATTACTTCAGGCAGACCTAGTTGAAAAAACAGGGAACTCAATATTGTTGCGTGACATATCAAATATTGTTAAAAACAGTCAGGGAAAAGACAACCTGCAAGAAATTATCAGCATTTTAAAAGAAAAATATCACTGCTTAATTGATGTACAAACGGAGGAGAATACATTTCAAGGAATTTTTTTCCAAGACGAGAAAATGCAAAAATGTTTTTCTCTGTTTTCTGAGATACTTTTCCTAGACGGAACTTACAAATTATTAAACAATCGGTGTCCTGTTTATGTGATGGTTGTTGAAAATTCCTTTGGTACCACTGACATTGTTGGAATTGCTATCATAACAAAAGAAGATAGTGAATCTTTAGGCTGGTTTCTCAATGTATATGTATTTTGCTTTTTCATATGCTTAAAATTCCTCCGACATAGACTTCACATATAAACTCTTGCCTGTAACTATATAGTTGAATCGCAAATTCAACGTATGCACGTCATTAACGTGATACAATTTTTGTACTGTAATAATTAATAATGGCAACATAATTATCAATATTTTATCGCATTAAAATACATAATTAGGACAACGGTTGTATATGCTACAGTGACTGACGATGTAATGTATGATTATATCCTTAATTTAAAAGAAACTAATTTGATTGACAGATGACGTGCATACGTTGAATTTGCGATTCGACTATATACAGGTCAGTGTCTGTGATATATTAAGAAAATGATGTTGATTCTGTTTGAATGTACAATACAATTATTGTAAGACACATGTCTTACAATAATTGTTTTTCACATATTTTATCGGAATTAATAAATATGTAGTATACTTATATGATTATTTTTTAAATTTCAGATTCAAAGAAAGAAATCCAAAGTGGCCAAATATAAAAGTTATAATGACAGATAAAAGTGCTGCTGAAAGAGATGTCATCAGTAAAGAATTTCCTAATGCAAAGAAATTAATATGTCTGTTCCATACTTTTCAAATATTCCAAAGAGAAGTCACAGTAGCAAAATTAAAAATAACTTCTGAGGAAGTCAGATTATCACTGGAATTTTTAAATAAGATAGCATATTCAAAAAGTGAAGATGATTATGAAAGTATCCTGAGTAATATGAAATTGAAATTGCCAGATTCAGTAATAAAATATTTTATGAAAAACTGGAACCCAGTTAAACAAGAATGGGTGAGATGTTTTACAAAATATAGCGAAAATTTTTATAATTTTACAAACAACAGATTGGAAAGTTTAAATGCTAAATTGAAATCTGTTATTTCAATATACAGTTCTTTTCATGAATTTATTAATAAACTATTCGTTTTGATAAAAATGAAAAGAGTACAGAAGCAGAATGAATATAGTAAAATGATATTAAAAGTACTAAATAACCTATCCAATTTAAATATGCAATTCTACAAGCATCTCACTCATTTTGCCTATCAGCAGATAGAAAAAAACTTACTCGATATTCAGACAGCTGACAGCCCTTTTATATTTCAAAAAATTGATGAAGCAACTGTTTTTTGCATAGCGGAAAAAGATACGATTCTAATTTCAGAAGTGCAATGTCAATGTAGCTTTTTTATATCTATGAAATTACCCTGTAAACATATATTATTTTATAGAAAACATTTAGGCATTGAATTATTCAGTGAAGACCTTTTTGATATCAGGTGGACAAGAAAATATATTGAAAATGTGCACGGTAGTTCATTGGAAACATTTTGTAATAACGAAGATGTTCCTCCATATGAATTTGAATTACCAAAAGTAAACATTTCTTGTACCAATATTCTGACAAACAGAAAAACATTAACATCACATGAAAAATTTAAAAAAGCCCAGGCGGTTTGTCTAAAATTATCTACATTGTGTAGTGAAGTATCTACAACAGAATTTCAAGATAGAATGGATATATTAATAAATTTGGAGCAAAATTGGCAGGAATTGGGAAAAGTTCAAATAATAAATGTTAAAGATACTCGGGACATTAATTTAGAAATACAAAGTACACTCGATCAAGGTTTAAATGCACTAGTTGATCACAATTATTTTAATCATTGTGACATATCCAAGCCAAACGAAAGGAAAGGCTTACATGAACTTGAAATTATTCAAGATTTTCAAGAAGTACTAGAACTTCAAGAGGAAACTGTGCCAGAAATTATATGTGACATGGATCATGATACTGAAGATGACATATCATTTATTAATAATATAACATTGCCGGTATAGTACATTTTTATACTTGTGTAATGAATTAAAATTTTTATTAAATACGTATTTTGCAGAGTACTGTCAAACAACGGGGTAGACCAAAAGGAAGATCGTTAACAACCATTGGCTTGCCAAAAAAGCGAAGAAAATTGCAATAAATATTTTTGTTATCGACTTTTTAAATAAACAGATTTTGTTTAAAGAAAACTTTTTTTAAATCCACAGTAAAAAGTTTACAAGTGTGGAATTGCAAAAATGTGTAGATTTCTAATTATCAAATAAGATACAGGGTGTTCCGTTAAAAAAACTATTCAGCCAAGATCGTATAAATCATATCATCCTGTAGAACTTTTGTATTTAACATTTTCTTGTAAGTCTAAAAATAAGGAAGTTAAATAAGGGTGACAATTATAACCAATCAGTCTATAATTTGTTTATTGACTACATGTTCATTAAGCATTAATTGACGATGATGCTAATGCATGTCGAGAGAACAGCACCTCAATCATATTTTTAATACCTTAATCTAATCTGTAACATGTAATACACTGTATTATACCTATGTTTCCTGAAAAAGATTGATTTAATTAACAATAACAAATAATTATTTACCGTTGAAAGTTAATACTTTGCTACAACTCAAACTTGCACTTGCACCATTCAAATTGATAAACACCGCCCCCATCGATAACCCCACCCTTTCAGGAAAATAATTTTTCCATTACAATCCCACGTACGGGATTTTATCCACTTCCTATATTTTATTCAATTTCCAGAATATTCAGTGGTGTCGAAATTCCTGAGTTCTTAGTAACAGCGCCTCTCTGTATCTTTGTCACTGGTGGATGAACATCGCGGCAACTTTTTTATTTTTGATTTTAGGAAAAGTTTCCTATAAAAGTTATATGGTCCTTTGAAAGCTTCATAAATTCTTTAATAAAAATGGAATAGTCGCAATTGGTCGCTTCCGACGCGCTTCCCCGAAATTTAACAAAAAGAAGTTCGTTAAATTCGATCGATAAAGACAAAAATTACAGGGATACTGAAGCATATAAGCGATATACATGTCCTCGGAAAGATAAAACGAGTCTTATAAGAAATAAAAAGTTAACAGAAGAATTAAATTATGGCTTTCTCGGATTCAGATCTACTTATTTTTGAATTTCAAATACGTTGGAAATTTAGTATTTAATTTTTTTTGACTAATAAAACGCCCTTACAAGTAAATAAAATGTTAAGAAAAAATTCTCAGTATGTAATATTGCAACATTTCAATGTCGTATTCTACTTTAATCTTTAACTTGATTTCAAATATTTTTCGTTAGTGTATGTGTCCTTTCTGTCGGATCTCCGACAGTGAACCCAAAACCCCCACAAACCAAATTTGGCGCAAATCTGTTATTTTTTGCAAATNTTTCTCATGACCACTTTTTGCCCTCTATCGAATGGCATAATCTATTTTTATATGTAACGTTTCGTCTCTCCAGGACCATCATCAACTTTATTGGTGGTAATAGTTTAAATAACTATATATGGATTTCACAGGGTCTAACGACACTTACAGTGTACGATTCAATAAACAAAGAAATCTAAGTAAAAAATTTAAATACATTTGGAACGAATACACTGACGATGAATTTTTCGAGACAAAACGTCTGAATCTGATTCGGGCTGAGGCAGTATAGTATTTGGAGGTCATGAAAGCTTGCAAAAAATGTAATAAAATTTCCAAGGTCGTATTTAAAAAAATGAAGTTGATGATGAAAGACGAAATGTTACATATAAAAATTGATTATGCCATTCGATAGAGGACAAAAATGGTTATGAGAAAGTGTTCTTCTTTTTACAATATCAAGGCTGAAATGAAACAAAAACGGTTTTCCAAAATTTTGATTTTTTCAAATATTTCGAAAACTAATGTTGGTCTTGATTTTTTAGATTTTTTGGTTCCTTGATTACACAACTTTGCCACCATTTAAGCCATCTTACCGTTTTCGACATCCCTGTAGTGAGAAGCGAATTTGTAACAGCCTGTATAACAGCAAGTATACGAAAATATACAGGATGTATTTAAATAACACCCAAAAAATGTAAGGGCGATTCTCTGATGAAAATTAATAAGGGCCTTTGGTATAACATTTTTTGAAAAAACTCTCCCCTGAAAAGTTATTCCCCCAAATATTAAAAAAAAATTATTTTTCTTTTTCATCTTCCATGTACAGTGCAGGAAAGCGCCGATGGTCTATCACAAGTTACGTGAGAGCGATAAAGTAAGATATAGAAATCCATGCGATAGAGAAGGATGGCTATAATGAAGGCGTGTCATAGTCAACACCCATTTTGCCCTTCCACAAATAAGAAGTGGATCTTATTTGTGGAAGGGCGAAACGGGCGGTGATAAAGAGAAGCCTTCATTATAGCCATCCTTCTCTATCGCATGGATTTCTATGTCGTACTTTATCGCTCTCACGTATCTTGTGATAGACCATCGGCGCTTTCCTACACTGTATAGAGAGAGATACATAAATTCCCTAAAATGTATGTATCTGTATTTTTGGTTACATGCATCGACATACATATCCATCTAGAAGGCGTTTTCGCATATAATATAGCACTTGACAATTTATGATATAGCCCCTTTAAAAAAAAATTTTGTTTTTTTTACATTCGTAACGCAACAATAGATTACTATTTTTTTTATTTTTAAATTTCAATAAAACCTTGTAACGTTTTGGTCCAAGGTATAAAACAGTGACGATACCGTATTTAAATAAAGAAAACAAATGATTATTTAAAATAAATTAAAACACATGCGAAATAATTTGGATATGTAGTCATACAGATACTTATAAGTTAATCTAAAGTGCGAAACACAAATTTTCTAAAAACTTACACATTTTTAATTAATGATATTCTGAGTAACAACTACCTTACGGGTAACAGTCCCGTCCGGCGTTGTTTTACACCGGCAGTATCTAGTAAATAGTTTAAATCAATCGTTAGCAGAATCACTAGAGTAACATTGACAATTAAGATACAACATGCTTTGTATATATATGTTATATCACAAACCTCTATACAAGGTGATTCACAACTTATCCAAAAAATTTGGGAATAGATGCGGCATGAAAAATGGAGTCAATATCGTAAAAAAAAGATTTATAAAATCCTTATAGTTTCCGAGAAAAAAGTATTGAAGTTGGAATACTTTCCACCATTACATCGCTTAACAACTGTAGTCTCTCATTCGCGTTGACTCCGAATACTGAAATCCGATTTTACAATTAGTATTAACGTCATTCCGATAGTATTTACAATAGTTTTTTAATAGTAAGTGTCAAAAATGGCTTACATGTATAGCAACTCGGAATTGACGAATATTGTTTTAATTCATGGCGAAGCAAGACAATATTTGTGTTATGGTGAAGCATTTGTGTTGTGGTGAACAAGGCAACATTTGTGTTAGTTCGTAGGAACTATGTAAGACGGGTCCAAATGTGTTTACACGTCGGTGGTCAAAATTTTAAACAGTTAATGTTAAGCAACATTTCAGTGCCAATTTTTGAGGTAGCATTTTCAACAATAATTTACGGCCTGTACATGTACTTTCTTGGAAATCAACCTTTTTGATTTTATTGATGACGTAGGGGGTTAATATTGTTCAAAATATGTCGCATCAGCACGATGGTGCGCCACCACATAGAGGGAGACAAGTAACTGCTTTATTAAGTGATCATTTCCCGAATAAATGGATAGGCAAACAAGGTCCGATAGGCTACTGCGTTCCCCGGATCTAAATCCTTTAAACTTTTATTTATGGGGACATATGAAGCAGTTTGTCTACCATGTTGAAATCACTACCGGTCAGCAGTTACTTGAAAGAATTCATGATGCAGCTAACCAGATAAGAAATGTTCCAATCCTCATCCGTCGGGTCACGGAATCTTTAGTTCGCCAATGTGAGGTTCGCATTCGAGCCGAGGGTGGGCATTTTGAATAATTTTTATAGTCTTAAGATTTGTTAATTAATAAATAATAATTATTGTTATAGCAACTATCATTTTTATATATCATGCTACTTTGATTGAAATATGAAATTATATTTTTTAAAATGCTTATAACTTCTAAACAAAAACGAATCGAACCTTTGTTCATATAAGAAAGCTATCATCTGTCAAAGTATGTCATAGAGCTTGTAGAACACACACCCTGTATATGTTAAGGTTTTGTATTTTAATGTTTCTAACAGTAATTTTTCTTCCACAATAAAAATCAGAAAATGTAAAACTATAGTTTATGAAATACAACATTTAAGGATAGACCAGAAATAAAATTTCTTATTAGAATTATAAACTTACTAGGTACATAATCATAGAGGGAAATCATTTCAGCTAGGTAATCAGTGCAAAATCTGGGAAATCTTAGTAGTGTCCTCTACACAATAAAACAAATCGGATTACAAAAGGTTGCGTCAGATTCGAAAGTTTGATAAATTCATATTAAAACTAGATCACGTTAGCAGTAGCATCCTACAAGAATTCATCCACCATTGGATAATAAAGTGGTACGCAATTTCCATAAAATTCGGGTAAAGTTGCGTAGTAACTGTAATCTTTTCACAAAATTTGCATTTTATTGTAGAAAATAAAGCTTAGCTATGGGAGACTTGTTCCCTAACTGACTCTACCTGCTGATATTAATAATAAATGTTTTAAGTACTACGATTTTGTTACAGATAAGAAAAATACACTTACTGCATACCTTAAATACTTTTTGCTATAAATTATATTTAATATTCTTTTTTATTTTTATTCGCAATTCGTTTTATAAGATAAATAGAGTTATAGATGAAATATTTTTATTACAAGATAAAGACTTAACGACGTGATATTTTTATAGTGCCCGCTTAAATAGGTATACTTTTTTAGAATAATATCCTATTATACTTAACACATTTTGTTTTTTTTTGTTTTTTTTTGACATAGATCATTACCTAAATGGTCACTCCTTTCTTACCT